AAAAAGGATGGAAAATATGAGAAGATGATGGAAGTGATTTTTCAAGACTTCTCCTTGTAAGATGAGAAAGAAAATCGTAAGATATGGCAGACTGGCATAGATACGATAACAAGCCCAGAAGGCCACAGTTATGAACCAATGACCTAGAGTGTTAAAGGGGTACAATGAAAGGGAAATGGCTTGAAGTAGCTAAAAGCTAAGAGAAAAAGAAAGGTAGGAAAGATGAATGATTCTGGAGTTGACAAAAAGGATTGAGTAAGGCCTAAGAAGACAATATTACATTTGTGATCAGTCTGGGGGAATAATCAGTCAAGTTACCAACTGAGGATAGGTAACTTATTTCTTGACTCAGTCCACTTGTCTAGAGACTCCTAAAGAGTGGACATGGCTCAGGCAGAATGGGAAAGAATCCAGGGTCACAGTAGATCCTGAAAAGGCTTACAGGAGAGCGGGGTAGCTCTGAAGGTCACAGTAGATAAAGGCTAAGGGAAGGTTATTGAGTCATGAGGGTGGCATCTCTTTGGAGTGGGAGAATGAGATGACCAAGGATGAGTCTAAGATGGGGAAACCTCCTCAAGACTTGGTTGCTTAGTACAGAGAGAGTGCCCTTGACTTTTTCACAGATACTATTATTGTTGAGTAAGTCGAGCTCAATTCTGTTTTGGTTAACAAAAGAAAGTGAGGAAAGTAAAAATTAAGGGAACCACAAGTTGTAAGTCCTGAAGGATACGCATTCAGGCAAGCTAAATGAGAATGTGAAAGAAAGAAGATAGGCCCTTAAGATAAATATGAGAAAGGTAGAGTATGCCGAAAAGACCAAATAAAGGTAGTGTTAAAGGAACATGAAATGCCATGGCATAGTAAAATACATAAAGATGGATATACTGCTATGGCATTATTATGAAAGAATGGGCCTAAAGTATAGAAAAAGTACGAGCGGCAATGATAAAATACGTAAAAGCAAAGGCCATGCTCGTATAAAAGATAGAAAAGTAAGAAAGGGAAAGCTATGTAAATATGGATTCCAGGATTGAAACCTGGCAACAAGGTATAATAGAAAGCTAAAGAGGCCAAAGTTGAGTATAAGTAGGGATATTCTCCTTAGTTAACCTCTCATTAATGGTAAGAATAGAGGTTTGACCTAAAAATTTCGAAGACGAAATTTCTTTTGAGAGGGGGAGAATTGTCACATCCCGAATTTTGGGCCTAGAAGTACTGAAATTAGCCTGAAATGAGCAGGCTACTAGACCCTTTTTGGTAGAGATCCTAGATATTCCCTGGAAGGATAGATGCATTCCCGGGAACTAATCGCAAAGGGAAAGTTTTCTAGGACTGAGAAAAGAGGAAGTTAGAAACTCAGAAGAAGTCTCGGGGCCCAGGAATGAGAAATAAAGACAAATGTAGGTCAAAGGTTATGTTGGAGGGCTCAATAAGGTGAATTTTGAGGTTAAGCCAAACCAAGGGCAAAATCGTAGTTTTGCAAAGTTTTGGGTTGCAAGGGCAAAAATGGAAATTGTGCCCGAAAATCCCAGAGAAATCCCAAAAAATGGGAAATGATATGTTAAGGCTTAAACACTTCAAAAAAATTCCAGAGAAATGAGAATAAGGTTCAGAGGCCTGTATGAGGCTAAAAAAGACGAAAATGCCCTTGGAAGGAATTTGTGAAATTCCCAGGGTTTTGACTGATTTTGAATATTATTGAAAATAAATTATTTAAAGTACAAGGAGGCCTCATATAATTGGAAGAAAATGGGAGAAGATACTTAAGGAATTATCACAGGTTTTAAAAATAATTATGTCCCCAGAAAGCGAATAGGTTAGCTTTAATGGAGTTTAAAGCCTATTTACATACTATCAGGGAAAAGTCAAAGTCAAATGTCTAAAGGTTGACTTTTGACTTAAGAAAAATTAGAGGAATTTCCTGTGATGAATAAATAGTATTGGTACCTAGAGACAGATTCTCAGAGTTGTGGACCGGTAGAAACAATTCGGTCAAGATCACTTTGAAATAAATATTATTAATTATTCTAATGGAGGAACAAGGAAAGAGCATCACTCTCTCTCTTTGGGCATGTCATATGATCCCATGTGGATTTATTTGAGGTGAGAAAATAGTGCCAGAACATATCCTAGTGGTCTTGGGAAAGTTAGGACCCAAAAAAATACCTGACACAGTGCAGAATGGCAAGATAGGTGGAGGAATACCTAAGGGTTGTATTTTGTACGAATTTTATATTAATTTTCTCCTTATTTTAATGCCAAAATGATGAAGAAATATGGAGGAGACAAGTGTACGGTTAGATGGGAAAAGAAGGTATTATGTGTACGATTGGATGCAAGACACGTGTACGGTCAGATGGAAGACACGTGCACGATTAGATTGGGGATATGTGGCTTGATGATGTAAGCATGATGTCATGGGCACTTGTCACCACAAGATTAAAAGAGAAAATGGACAGTCCAGATCAGGCCACATATTTTTAAGATCAACGGCCCAAATTCAGTCTTGTTTTCTATAAATACCCCCTCCCCACCCCTCATTACGTCCAACCTAGAGGAAGCCTTGGGCAAGCTCTGGCAAAATGATTTCTAGAGAGAGAAAGAAGATGGAGAAAGAAAGGCCAAGTGGTCATATGCAAGATCAAGCTCTAAAACAAGGTATGTTCATGGTTTTTGATGTAGTTTTCACTACTCTTGTTGTTGTTGAGCTTGGTTATGGATTTTAATGATTTTTGGGAGCTTGGAACCCTTGGGGGAGGTGCTGCATGAAATTATTAAGTGTAAGGAAAGATGAAATTGATGTTAGATTAATGTTTAATGGCTTGAAAGGAACACGAATCAAGTAGTTTAATGCTGAAATTGGTTGAATTTCATCATTGTGTAACTTGAGAAAATGTTTTGGGCAGACCTGGTTCTTGTGCCTGGGATGTGATTTTGATGATTTTGATGCTTTCAATATATTTAAAATGAAAAATTATGTAGGGATAAGATGAAAGAATGAAGTTAGAAGCGTTGGAATCAAAAGTGGAAATTAAGTGGCAGATTTTGGTTTTGGCCTACGAGGGCAAGGAGTTGGATTTTTGATGAATTTAAGTTCATATTTAGGTTCCTTAGGCAAAATTGTGTAGGATTGGCTTAAGGAAACAATTTTTACAAAGCTAAAACACTACATTATAAATTAAGGAAAAAGGGATTAAGTTTAAGGAAATAAGTCCTCCATGTTGGGTAATTCTTGGTCCTAATGAGTAATGTGACCCTCGTGGCTGTGATTAGGACCTTGAGGCATTCAAGAGAAGGTTTGAATATGGTTGAGCAAGCAACCTTAATGGTTAGAAGTAAAAGGGAGTAAGAAGAAAGCTTAAGGACACAAAGTAGCAAACGTGACCTTACTCTTATGTGCTTAGTATTTGCTTGCATGTATGACATGTTTCTATGTTATATGATTTTATGAACTCATGTGTGTCGTGATTGTGAATGTGTTTGAAATATGCCATAGGCCTATGTGTTTTATGATAAATACATGATGATTGCCAAACATGTCATTATGTTATAAAGATATTAAGTTGCAAGTATGTTATAAATGTCAAGCTTGCCATGTATATTTGGGTGGTTATTGTTTGCTACTGAGATTCTCCCAAATCTCAACCCTTCTCTAACCAACCATTTAGGTCAAGTATGATAAACAATGATTGCATGAAGGAGAGCATAAGAAAGAAGGAGAAGAAAGTGGAGAACTATTGATGTTAATGACTGGTTAAGGATTTATGTATAATTCTCTTATTATGTAAATTATGTATATGAATGCCAATGATGCAATGTATTGATTTAGAATGTTTGTGGCATGAATGGAAATGTATGAAAATGAATAGGAAAGGATAAGGCCAAGTTATGCATGTCAAAACAATAAAAAGAATTAAAGCAAGAATTGTGTAATGGATAAAATGTAGGTCCTGGAGCAGTCAGCTTTCAGCTCCAGATTAACCTATCAAATGAATGAGTTAAGGCATGAAATTTGTCATGATTAAAGTACACATCCTAATCTTTAAAACAAGTGGTGGATTACTTAAAACGAATGTGTGTGCTAAGAGTTATACCCTCCCACAGTTGGACTAAAAATCTGAAATTTAATCTGTGAACAGTAACCTGAGAACCTAGTGCAATCTTCAATCTACGAGCTTCTTTCATAATCTGTTTGTACCATAACGCTTCCAAGTGCATACTCTAAGGAGTTAAAGGAAGGATCTTTCAATACCCTTGTGGTTAAGGGATATAACCTAAGCAAGGAAATGCGCCCTATAAAATAATGCGACATAGAATGCATGAAGAGAGTCCCATACTTGAGTGTCGTTGGCAGCCTAATATACGCTATGTTGTATACCAGGTCAGACATATGCTTCACAGTTGGACTTGTGAGCCAATTCTAATCCAATCCGGGAGTAAAACACTTGGAAGCTATAAAGAGGATTATGAGATATCTAAAAGGAGTCATAGACTATGAGTTGTGCTATCAAGGAAACAATCTTCGTGCGGAGGGTTATTCCGATGCTAATTGGGCAGGAGAGCTGGATGAGTGACACTTGACGTCAGGCTATGCTTTCCTACTGAACAACGAAGCAATCTCCTGAAGCATCAAGAAACAAATGTGTGTGTTTCTTTCATCCATGGAAGCAAAATATGTAGCATGTTCTGTAGCTGTCCAAGAAGCTGTATGGCTTAAAAGATTCTTAGTAAGATTCAGAATCTATGGTAGTAGTGAGAGACCAACTTTAATTTACTACGATAGTCAAGCAGTGATAGCCTATGCAAAGGATCCTAAGTACCACAATTGTACTAAGCATATGGACATAAAATATCACTTTGTAAGAGATATGATTGTTAAGAAACAAGTGACAGTTCAATACTTGTCTACTCATAAGATGTTGGTAGATCCCCTAACCAAGCTTATAGCTAGAGATCCTTTTGTCAAGCATGTAAAGGCCTTGGGCATGCGTAGAGCATGATGTATTGAACTCCTTTTTCTTTTTGATCCTTTTTCTTGTTCAATTACGTAGGCACAAGGCATGTTATACTGAACTTTTTTTGGTTTCCTCTTATTTAGTAATTCAATGCATTTTATCTAGTTCAAAGAAATTTTCTTGTATATACATTTGTGCATTTATACATGCATAGGCACGAGGTATGCAACACCAATATGTCGTACAGGTCACACAGTTGGCTCACTCACACGAGCAACCGCCTCGCTGTGTTCTCATGGGACATAGAAGGTTTGACAACAGATGATCACCATGAGATGGTAGAGAAGAATCACTGCACAAATTCGCCTCAGCTAGACTGAGATGAGACCCAGTCTGGGCCGAATCATGGATAATGTGTAATCCATGAGACCTATAGCCATATGAGGAACTCTTCACTTGTAAAACGTCATATATACTTGTGATAAAAGAGCTCCTGGTTCAAATGTTGGAGTGCATTTAGAACTTAAGTCTATACAGTGCTACTAAAACCAAAAAGTGACATACTCCACTCAGTGGATTGAGCGCTGTAGCATGCAATTCATACTGTATGAGCTTATTTAAATCCGCAACATGGAGTGTAGATGGAAGATCCCTAATCTATTATGTTGTGAGTCCCAGAAAGGAAACAAACCTTTCATAATGCCCTTAAGACTTAGATAGCATCACAAGGGTTTGGTTTAGTGACAGTTACTTTAGTCTAAACCCCATGGTCAAGAATGATGCGATCTAACGGGTCAAGACTAGGAAAGCGACTGTGCCAAATCTAAATGATGAATAGTTAGAAGGAAGATTTATCCTGAAGTACATAGCTACGTTGGTGTCTGTGACATGTCCCCTGCAGGTTGGATAGAACAACTAAGCAAGTGTGGATACCATACGTATAGGAAGGCAATCTGAGTAAACAAAATAACTCGAGAGATATTAGATATGCCACAAGTAAAGTGTATGAATAAAACTAGGGCATTTGAGGCAACAAGCATACAATTTGCAGATACACCAAGGGTGTTCTTGTGTGCTTGTCCTATATAAAGGACTCCTAGTGCACAATGTAACGCACCGCTCATGTTTTGTCCAAAATACACAAAGGCTCGCTGCCCAGAACTGTCCAAAGGTGTCCACAAAAGTCTTGGGTAAGTCTGGAACTCTCTAGAAATGTGTGGAGCTTGTTGGGGAAGCTTGGAAGGTTCCAGAATACTATAGATAGTTGTAGAGACACCTAACCCCTTTGTAAATATCTAGATATTTTTGTAGAGTATTCTAGATACAACATTGTAACCGTTGGATCAAGTAGATCTTAGCCGTCCATTGAGGAGGTGGAGAACTATAAATACCCCCTCCCCCTCATTCATTTGACACACTCAAGAAAGTGAGAGTGTTGTAAGTACTTTGAGAGATCAATACAAAGTTCTTTCTTTGAGTCTCTTGTTCCTTTGTGTTCCTTCGTGAGTAGGCTGACTAGCAACTTAAGGCAAGAAGTTTGCTAGGCCGCACGGTTCGTTGGAATTGCGACCAAGTCCGTGACAGTTGGTATCAGAGCCAAGGTTTGAAGATCGTTGGAACATAGAGGTAGATGGAAGGCGGAAGCGAGACTATCAATATATCCGAGGGAGTCAAGAAGAAATCTAAATCCCAGAGATCTAGTTCAAGGGAAACCATGGAGGGTTTTGAGACACGGCTAGCCAAGGTGGAGCTTGCAATAGCCGACAGGGAGGAGAAGTTCGAGGAGATGGGGCAAAGCATGGACGAGTTCCGTGAGGAGATGCAAGCCGCCATGAACAAAGTCCTCGCCCAATGTCTCGACAGGATGAAGGCCATGGAAGAGTCTCACAGGGATGAGGTTTCTTCGATTCGTGGAGAACTCGCGAGGGTCTCGCGTAAGTTGGAGAGTGCCGAAGAGGAGCTCATCTTGTGCAAGAAGGCTCTTGCACAAGAAAGTCCGTCAACGTCCGAGGTAAGGACTACATCCTCTAAAGTAGATGTTCCACGTCCTAAGGCTTTCAAAGGGACAAGAAATGCGAAGGAACTAGATAATTTTCTATGGAGTATGGAGCAATACTTCCGAGCGAACGTCGTCACCGACGATGCACTAAAGGTTAGCATGGCATGTCTCTACCTCGAGGACACCGCTATGGTATGGTGGAGGAGGAGACAAGGGGACATAGAGAAAGGCACTTGCACCATAGACACTTGGACTGAATTCAAGGGTGAGCTCAAGAGGCAATTTTATCCTAGCAATGTTGAAGAAGAGGCCAGGGGTAGGTTGAGGCGTCTTCAACACAAGGGAAGCATTCGCGAGTATGTGAAGGAATTCACCGAGGTACTGCTTGAGATCCCTGACTATCCTGATAAAGAAGCTTTCTTTGCCTTTATGGATGGATTGCAACAGTGGGCTAAACTTGAGATCCAAAGACGTGGTGCTCAAGACTTGACCACCGCTATCTCCATTGCCGAGTCCCTTATTGAGTTCAAGAAACCCGAGAAGCCAAAGCTGAAAGACAAGGGCGGCAAGGGAAAGAGTGGGGGAGAGCATCACCGAGGCAAGGAGACCACGGACAAGTCGAAGGGTCCCAAGGAGTACAAAGCTGGAGAAAGGCCATCACTTAAATGCTTCTTTTGTGAAGGACCACATAAAGCAAGGGATTGCCCAAAGAAGGCTAAACTTTCAGCATTGATCGAGGAAAGGGAGGAACGGGAACGAGAAGAGGAGAGAGTAGGATCCCTACAACTCCTCAATGCAATTAAGGCAAAGGTGGAGATGCCCAAGTCCGGAAGGAAGGGACGGTTATTTGTAGAAACCGAGATTGGAGGACACACCGTCAAAGCACTTGTGGACACGGGAGCTTCCAACAACTTCCTTAGAGTGGAAGAGGCTAAAAAGTTGGGCATTCACTACCAAGGAGAACGTGGTTGGCTTAAGGCAGTCAATTCAGGACCGAGGGCTACCTTTGGAGTTGCTCGCGATGTCAAGGTAAGCCTGGGCGATTGGAACGGCCTCGTAGACTTCTCCATTGTCACCATGGATGACTATCCAATTGTCTTGGGTATGGAATTCATGTATAAGGTTAAGGCCGTGCCAATCCCCTTTGCCAACACGATGTGCATCTTGGAAGAAGGTAACACCCGACTAGTACCTCTAGAACGGGAAACCCAACTCCGAGAGAAGCAGATTTCAGCCATGCAACTCTCCAAAGGCATAAAGAAGAAGCAGCCCACATATCTAGTTGCTTTGGAAGAAGAAGCAGTAGTCTCGCCAACTAAAAACCTCCCGAGGTGTATTGAGCATGTCCTAGAAGAATTCAAGGACATGATGCCGCCCGAGTTGCCCAAGAGGTTGCCACCAAAGAGAGAGGTGGACCACAAGATAGAGTTGGTGCCTGGTGCCACACCACCTGCAGCAGTGCCTTACCGTATGGCGCCTCCGGAGCTTGAGGAACTTAGGAGGCAATTGAAGGAGTTGGTGGACATGGGATATATCCGTCCATCAAAAGCACCTTAGGGAGCCCCGGTATTGTTCCAGAAGAAGCATGATGGGTCACTTCGGTTATGCATCGACTACCGGGCGCTTAACAAGATCACGGTGAAGAACAAGTACCCAATCCCACTTATTGCCGATCTCTTTGATCAACTTGGCCAGGCTCGTTGGTTTACCAAGTTGGATCTAAGGTTGGGATATTATCAAGTACGGATAGCTGAGGGAGACGAACCAAAGACAACATGTGTCACGAGGTATGGTTCGTATAAATTTCTTGTAATGCCTTTCGGACTCACAAATGCACCAGCAACATTTTGCACCCTCATGAATCGAGTCCTACAACCGTTCTTGGACAAGTTCGTGGTGGTGTACTTGGATGACATTGTCATTTATAGCAAGACGTTGGAGGAGCACGTGAAGCATCTAAGGCAAGTCTTCCAAGTCCTCAGGGAGAACGAGTTGTACGTCAAGAAGGAGAAATGTGCCTTTGCTCAACAGGAAGTAACTTTCTTAGGGCACATTGTCGGAGGGGGCAAACTACGGATGGATGAGTCCAAGGTGCGTGCTATACAAGAATGGGAGCCGCCAAGGAAGGTACCCAAACTTCGTTCTTTCCTTGGATTGGCCAACTATTATCGAAAATTCATCAAAGGTTACTCTGCGATAGCCGCTCCCCTCACTGATCTTTTAAAGAAAAACCGAGTATGGGATTGGGATGATAAGTGTCAAGCCGCTTTTGAGGAGCTGAAAGCAGCCGTGATCAAGAAACCGGTGTTGGCCTTGCCTGACCACACCAAACCATACGAGGTACAAACGGATGCTTCGGACTTTGCCTTAGGAGGAGTCCTAATGCAAGAAGGTCATCCGGTGGCTTACGAGAGTCGTAAGCTCAATGATGCAGAACGGCGTTACACAGTCCAAGAGAAGGAGATGACGGCCGTGGTGCATTGCCTGAGAACGTGGAGACATTATTTGCTAGGTACAAGTTCATTGTGAAAACCGATAATGTCGCCACGAGCTACTTCCATAAGCAGAGGAAGCTTACACCGAAGCAGGTAAGGTGGCAAGCCTTCTTAGCAGAGTTCGACTTTGTGATGGAGTATAAGCCAGGAAAAGGGAACGTCGTGGCCGACGCATTGAGTAGAAAGGCCGAACTTGCCTCCATCACTAGCCCGAGTTTCCCTTTGGTTGATCGAGTCAAGGAGGGACTAAAGCAAGACCCACAAGCCAAAAGTTTGATGGAATTGGCAAGTCAAGGGAAGACACGCCGGTTTTGGCTTGAGGATGGGGTGCTCATAACCAAAGGAAACCGAGTGTACGTGCCGAAATGGCAAGGCTTAAGGAAGGAGATCATTAAGGAGTGCCATGACTCGAGGTGGGCTGGACATCCCGGAGTTCGACGCACGATGGCACTCATTGAGCGAGCATACTTTTGGCCCCAGATGCGAGATGATGTTGAGCTCTATGTAAAGACTTGCCTTGTGTGTCAGTAAGACAAGGTGGAACAGCGCCCCGTTTCTGGCTTACTAGAGCCACTTCCGATTCTCGAGAGACCATGGGAAAGTATTTCTATGGACTTCATCACTTGTTTGCCGAAAACAGAAGGATGCAGCAACATTATGGTGGTGGTGGACCGGTTTAGCAAGTATGGAGTGTTCATACCAGTCCAAACCAAATTCACTGCAGAAGATGCTGCAAGTTATTCTTCAAGTTCGTGGTGAAGTATTGGGGCATACCAAAGACTATTGTGAGCGATCGGGACACTCGCTTCACAGGACGATTTTGGATGGAGCTCTTCAAAATTATGGGGTCCGAACTTAACTTTTCCACAAGCTTTCACCCGCAGACCGATGGCCAAACGGAGAGGGTGAACGCTTTACTCGAACTATACTTGAGGCACTACGTAAGTGCCAACCAGAAGGACTGGTTAAGCTCTTGGACATTGCCCAGTTTTCATACAACTTGCAGAAAAGTGAATCAACTGGGTCAAGTCCGTTCGAGTTAGCCACGGGGCAACAACCGATGACTCCGCACACTTTAGCTGTTGGCTATAAAGGCCCGAGTCCTTCAGCTTTCAAGTTTGCCAAGGGGTGGCATGAAAAATCAGACATGGCGAGGGCGTACTTAGCTAAGGCCGCGAAAAGATGAAGAAGTGGGCCGACGCTAAGAGGAGGCACTTAGAGTTTGAGGAAGGTGACTTAGTCATGGTGAAGCTCCTTCCTCATCAAAGCCGAAGGTTCGCCAAGGTTCATAAAGGGCTAGTGAGGCGCTATGAAGGACCGTTTCCTATAGAGAAACGCATCGGTAAGCTAGCCTATCGCTTGACTCTACCTTCACACTTGGAGATGCATCCTGTTTTTCACGTAAGTCTACTGAAGCCATACAACAAAGACAAGGATGAACCAAGTAGAGGTGAGTCTAGAAGAGCCCCTACAGCAATTACTACGGTGCCAGAACGGGAAGTTGAGGAAATCCTCGCGCACCGAGTAATACCGAGACGTGGGAGTCATCCGAGCTACATTGAATACTTTGTTAAATGGAAAGGATCTCCCGATAGTGAAGCAAGCTGGGAACACGAGCTGGCTTTATGGGACTATAAGGAGAAGATTGAGGCATACAAGAGGGATGCGCCGAGGACGTCGCCACATTAAGTGGGGGAGAATGTAACGCACCGCTCATGTTTTGCCCAAAATACACAAAGGCTCGCTGCCCAGAACTGTCCAAAGGTGTCCACAAAAGTCTTGGGTAAGTCTGGAACTCTCTAGAAATGTGTGGAGCTTGTTGGGGAAGCTTGGAAGGTTCCAGAATACTATAGATAGTTGTAGAGACACCTAACCCCTTTGTAAATATCTAGATATTTTTTGTAGAGTATTCTAGATACAACATTGTAACCGTTGGATCAAGTAGATCTTAGCCGTCCATTGAGGAGGTGGAGAACTATAAATACCCCCTCCCCCTCATTCATTTGACACACTCAAGAAAGTGAGAGTGTTGTAAGTACTTTGAGAGATCAATACAAAGTTCTTTCTTTGAGTCTCTTGTTCCTTTGTGTTCCTTCGTGAGTAGGCTGACTAGCAACTTAAGGCAAGAAGTTTGCTAGGCCGCACGGTTCGTTGGAATTGCGACCAAGTCCGTGACAGTTGGTATCAGAGCCAAGGTTTGAAGATCGTTGGAACATAGAGGTAGATGGAAGGCGGAAGCGAGACTATCATATATCCGAGGGAGTCAAGAAGAAATCTAAATCCCAGAGATCTAGT